TATATTAATATGTATATATATATATATATATTGATGGCATTTTACAAAAGTTTGTAATTCGTGACATCTATAAATTGACTCACCCGGACGAGATGAAAAACACGCATGTGAGGGTATATTCCGGTGCTTTAGCAAATGATCTAGTTTGGTTGCTTCGTACTAGCCTGCGTTGTCACTTCTAAGCAGATATCCCCTTTATATCACAATCTCCTCCCAGAGCATGTATGACAAATTTATCGAACGTAATGTGTTCATTCAATTGACGATTAGATTACCCTCTAACAACAAGATGTTAGTTATGAATAAATTAACAATCTAATTGACCCTCACCATCATACAGCTCACTTAAAGGGTGATACCAGCAGTGCCACCCGAGAGGTACCCGTACCCCTATCTGTGGATGTGGATGTAGATGTGGATGTGGATGTAGGTACATGTTCTACTGCAACAGAGGGCGCTACAAACAAGCCGGCAGCGGAGGCCCAGGGAACTGCCCATGCACACGCGCATGCGGCCGGTAATACGGCAACCTCCGGAGACCACATGCAAACTGAGCGGTGTGTTGGATAAGGGGATGCTATATAGGTTTCGTCGGTGTTTTGCATCTATATGGGTTTCTAGGGGATCAGGGTTGATATTCGTTCGACTAAATGGAATTTGTATGTGGCTAGTTGAGGTATGTGTGTGCGAATGTTATTGTGTAGTGCAGTTTTACAGCTAAATGTGAGTATATGTGATATGTATATAATTCTATTTCAACGACAAACTAATACTTTATTTGGTTTTAGTAGACAGGTCATATACTTCTAGTATTATACGACATGCTACTTGTTGAAACTAGGCATACACTAACAATACTCTTTCGACATATTCTTTCTATATACGGTATGGCAGATCAGACATTTTGTAACAAATTTCGTTCTCCGACATACTCCTTCTACATTTCTTTTGGTTGTATCGTATACATACTGGTATGGCAGGGTATGATACACGATTTGATCGCAAACCGATCCTGTGGTGCATTCTCATGGGCGCGCAGCAGTTCCGGGTCTGTTTTAAACTCACCACCCCTTCACGAGCGTGGCAGTCTGCTTCGTTGTGAATTAATTGAATATATAAGACACTCACTCTGGTATGATTGCTGACAGAGAATCTATCATCGAGAACACGGTCATACGAAACCACACATCCATGGGCTTTAGTGATGTGGCTGGTATGTTTCTGTATATGAATACACACACACACACGTT